CGGCTTTCGCGTCGCCGGCCCGTACTCGGGGTGAAAAGTGGTGATGAATTGACAACTTCTAACCCTCATTAAACCAAATGCGCAATTATACAACACAGTTTCATTTAGTTATTTTAAGAGATAAACTTATGGACTACCTTCCTAGCTATGTAAAAATTTCGGAAACTTTCGGAAAATGTCAATAATTAGAAGAGAACGTGATGATGATGAGAAACTTGCATTCACTCTAACTCACGATTTCCTTGGTCGATTTCGCTGGTTCAGATGGCTACGTCTTCAGAAGAGTTATCCGAGCACAGCGAAAGCATTTGATAACCAATAGCAGGTTGCCTTGTGCCATAAGTTGTCGATTTTGTATTTTTGTCTGTTATAGCTATATACATCTTCAATGAGTATGACGTCATTTTCTCGGTGACTCGCATGGCTTCAAAGCCTTTTTTTTACGACCAAGTGTTTGGAGAGCTTAGGGAAGCAGGCCGCGTTGCGTAACACTTCGTAACATTTGGATCGCCAGAGGGCATCTGTGGTCTGATAAGGGCGGCTGTTGATGGATTTGATGGCTGAAGAGGGTTACATTACTTGTTGTTAAGCCAAGTTAATCTTGAATATCTTTCCCTCTGGAAATTCTTTCGAGACGGAATCTCCATTTAAAGTCTCACCTCCCTGATTAAACTAAAGGTTACTTTGAAATGACCCAATAGCTTTCCTTAGGCATGCATGGACATGCCCATCATAGCAACAACTACAGGTTGTTAACCAAAAGAAAAAGTACATGTTAGTACATGGATGATGGAACTGTCTATGAATATAGGCCTAATCTTTCAAGAGAGATGAATATTACATTTTACCACGTTTTCTTACAAGAAACATACATACAGTAGATTGAAATAAGTTTCTGTGATTTTATTAAAATTTATATTGTATCTTTATAGTCAGTAGGTAATTTTCTTTTAATACTGGTATTTTCTTGAGCTTTTCAGATTGTCCTCCTTTATTGTCTTCTCTCTCCTATCCCCTTCTATCTCTCTCTCTCCCCCCTCTCTCTCTCTCTCTCTCTCTCCCCTCTCTCTCTCCCCCTCTCTCTCTCTTTATCTCTTTCTCTCTCTACCCCTTCCCTGTCTCCCCCTCTCTCCTTTCTTTTTCTCCATACACAAGTATCATTCTTTATGCTGCCTACTCTTTAATCTCTTTCCTTTTGTAATTTGACATGATTGCATTGACAATTGAGTTTCAGAGATTTTGAATTATAACGCCTTTCCCACCCTTTAAAGGCCCACTGCACTACTTGTAGCTACTTGCGCCCTCTATATAACAAACAATGACTAATCGGTGACCATTGGTCCCCCATGATCCTCTTTTTCTTATGTTAACTGAGAGCTGAGTTGATGAGATAACCACCTGTCCAGTGACCTTGCAGGGCAGCCTAATCCCTCCTATAAACTACGGCAGATAAGCTTTAAATTATAACGTCTTTCCCACCCTCTGAATATAAAAGAAATAATCTTCATTAAGTTCAATGTACATGGAGTAGGATGAAACAAATGGGGTTCCTTTATAGTGCAGTAACATATATTTGTTTAAAAGGGGTACATGTACAGTATATAGTTTTTCTCTTATCTTTAGACACATCTCACTCAAACTTGAAAAGTACATTATAATCTATACATTTCCCATAAAAGGATATTGAACTGCAAATAAACTGGCTTCATGAATAGTGAATACAGAAGACCCATTGATAGATAAAAGAGATATATAGGCAATAAAAGTAATAAAACTGCTTCTAAATGGCTTCCTCTACACAAGGGCAGTTTGAATTTTCTATGAAAGAAAGCAATTCATTGCACCAAGGCCAAACATGCAACTCTAGGCGCATTTATACTGTCAAATACCTCATTTTGAAAAGTCGCGATGTTTCGTGCACCCGGTTACACTTGTGCTGAAACATCACCGACGGAGCTGTTCAGCGATGTTTTGGCGTGTTTCGGTTGGTAATGCGCATGTGCAGTCTTCCCGACCTTTGACCCCGGCCTGCTATAAGATTTTTAGCGCGCGCAATTTCCAGCTAGCGCTATAGCTAGCTAAATAGCGATACATCCCATGCGCATGCATGCGATATGTTTTGTTTATCTCGCGTGTAGTATTTGAGGCAAGAGTGGATAAGTTACGAAGTACGGACTACGGCTGCTGATTCAGTTTTCCCAAATTCAATCGAAATTTAGTAGTAAAAACGATATGGGAAGGTTAAGAAAATCATCGTTGTTAATTGTTAATTTCATGCTTTCACTCATTTCTCTGAAGCCCTTTTCCCCACGTTTGCAGGGACGCTTGGAAGTCTGGTGGAGGAGCTCTCCCTGCCTCCACATCGAAATCAAGAACTTCATCTCATCATCAGTCCAATGGGAATTGTTCACTTCCATATTAATTAATCTAACAAAACACTCAAATACTACTACTAGACAGATATGGCCAGACGGGAATAACGAAGATTGAATAAAGGATGAGTTAACGGAATTGGAACAAACGGAGCTGAATGAACGGATAACACGCGCGACGATGGAAATGCTATAAATATCACACGGGAAGAACGTGGTTTAAAAGAGCGCGGGTAACAATCCGGAAGTGCCGGAAGTCACGTGCCTAACATCGCGATGTTACAACTGCGAGCGGTTATACTTGCCAAACACGCCAAAACACGCCAAAAGATCACACTTCGTTTTGGAATGTTTGGGGCTTGGCATGTCTGCCGGTAAAGCGTAGTTGCCCTTGGTAACATCGCGGCCAGGCTCCGGTTTGGCATTTTTTGGCGTGTTTGGATGACAGTGTAACTGCCCCTTCTATAACAATTATTACCGTATATGAATTTTGAAAGAAAGAAAACTGAGGTAGCAGCTACTTCTTCTCATATTTTCTGTAGCTCTTTTCTTTTTTCTTTTTACAATCTCTCTTCAAAGGGGACCTTTTACAATGAACAATATTCATTTAAATGGTTAACAATTACAGAGAATGTAGGGATAAAAAGTCCTTTATATCAAATAATCAGGGTCCAAATGGAGGTTAGATTTTAAGTTAACGTTTGTGCATGGAAATTATGAGTGCATCTACCAGTGTCATGATTGCACTTATATAGACATTGGTGCTGTAGAAATTCCCGGATTGGGGTGAATCGGATTGGGGTGGTGGGGGGGGGGGGGGGGGGGGAGGGCAGCATTGGTGATTGGTCCTCATGCAAAAACTGTTAAATTGTGAAATGTTTACCTACTTTCTTGTAGAATACCCAATCCCTTTTCCTCTCCATTTTTTTTTTATAATTCTCAATATCATTTATTTTTTCTCTCGCCCTTCTCAGCCCTTTATAACCCCAGTCTGGAGGCACAGACCCTCATTTGACACTTACAAATAATTCCACAAAGTCTTGAGCAGAGCCTAGCTCTGTCAGTCTCTGGCTCTGTTAGGAGCACTTGGTATAATAGTCTCTTAGTTCAGACGCAATGTTAGGCACTATAACTGACAAGGGTTCGTGCCTTTAAACTACATTCACCCTCTTCCCACTTCAAAGTAGGACCCACCCTTTCCCCAGTAGTTCTTGAAAGGTACTTTTTATCACTTGAACTTTGAGGTGAAAGACAGGGGTCATGCGAGGTCACCAAGCCCATACTCTTGACACTGTGTAATGACAAACACATGTACCAACTCAGGTTTCGGTTTAAACTAGGCCTGCTTTCATCAGCTCGAGATTGCCAAAGAGCCAGCTACTTCTGATTTGGGAAATAATCGCGCAGTTACAAATCGCATCTTCATTAGCTCGAGACAAGACCTCGAAACTTGAAACTCGACCTTGAGAAATTAGCTCGAGTTATTTTGCTTAGCGTTCACGCGTAGTGCGAGTCTTCGGGCTAGTGAAGACGCACTGGACAAATAGTGGGATATTTTGCAAACTAGCCCAAGATATCTTGGGATGATTATCTCGACCAAATATCCTGCTGATTGCAACTTCGGGATGATGAAGACGCAAACTAACTGGATTATTTGCGATCGGGATGGTTAAAATAGCGGGATATTTGGTAATCTAAAGCTGATCAAGACAGGCCTACTGTTCATGAATATAAGGACCTGGGGGCGAAATACAGCAGACTGTGTATAAATAAATCTTTATATAATTGGGGAGTAGTAATGTGTATGTACAGGGCTTGGCGACAGGGAGGGTCTCTGCAGGCATATCTTTTGTATACATAATACAGTGTATTTCGTAACTGAATTTAGAGAGTCTGTTATGATTTCAAACCTTGATTCCAATGATGTTCGATGTAGCCTGCGTCGTTTTTGACTTGAAAGAAACTTTCATTAGAGGTTGAAATATGAATTTATTTCTAAATTGGAGTTGTGTATTGTAGAATGAGGAGTGTGAATGTGTTGCACTTATATCACTGTAAATTAATACTCCATCCACAATTCATTGAATCATTCAATTGATTCAAACCAATCAGTAAATCTTTTTTTGAATAAAGTTGGTGAATTTGATGGTCTGTATCTGCACTATTATCCAACTTTGCATATTTTCAGCCCAGTTTAGAGGCCTGTGATAATGCCCTAATACACCTTTTAAATATGATCACAGTCCATGTTGTAATAATCCCCTTTCTTCATTTTTCTACACTTTTTGCTCAGACATGGACCCTACCTACCACATCTCAATTACACCTCTGTGAATACCCTCTGTTCCCTTTGAAGACCCCCATCACACCCCCTGAATACCCTTATCACACCCCCTGAATACACTATGTTCCCATGAATGAAGGCACCATCACACCCCCTGAATGCTCTCATGTTCCCCTCTTCCACCTGCCTTCACACCTCTTCAATCATCCACCCACGGCACCCACCTCCTCATGAAATCTTATCCCTGTCCCTGCAAGCCCCCCTCATTACCCCCTCCCCGAAACTCTACCCTTTCACACTCCACCAGTGTCAGACCACTGCCAGTCATGTCACCAGCCTTACTGTATCATGTCTGTTGCCCACTCCTTGCTTTAGCGCAACACAACACAACACTGTACTCCTGCCTGCACCTTTAGTACGGTAAGCAAAAATACTTTGCCAAAGCAGCCAAAGCGCTCCCCAGAGTGACACTTACACGCTGGAGCTTGAACTACAGGGCATTGTCTTCAAAACAGAGCAGCCCTTGTTATCGGAAGGTGCTTCAAGCGCTCCGTTGGACTCGGAAAAGTTTACTTTGGAATTTAACCCTCCTTCTCATAATTTCTGCATTCTGTGTCGATTCAATCCGGACTGACCACTTGATAGGGTTTGATTTTTGCCCTGATGGCTGGACCAGCCATCTCTGCGGTTTCGTCCACTTAGTGCAACCTTCACTGTTCATTTCAAGCCAAGCCTGTGTTGATTGCAAAAGCTCAGCTCTAGCTCTGTATTGTATAAAAAAATGATTCTGTTTGTATTGCCCAGGTGAGGAAAAGAGATTTGACTTTGGCATTCACTAGACTGCATTATTGTGCTTTTGTAGACCTCTGGATGGAACGGTACCACGTTCTATTTTGGAAATAATTAAAGAATAACCCACGTCGCCTCAGCCTCAGGCTTAGGTTTTGCTCGAGAGGTACATCAGCGCTAAATTAAGAAATTATAAGTATTAGCCGTTGGCGCTGCACTGTACATTGTACAGTACATGAATGTGCTATCTAAAGACAATGAATGAAAGATTCCATCACAGAAAAATAAGGCTACAACTAAGCAAAAGTCTTTGACTTGGATAAAGTGCTGGATACTTTGGCTTTTTTTGGTGTATATGACATGGTATGACCATCCATCTTTTAACTCTGAGTCTATATTCTTCATCTCTTTTCATCCATACTACAGAAACAGACCTAACCTTTGGATACTCTACCATCCTGCGCTAACAATATAAGGCTTCACATCTGGAGACTTGAACGCAGCTCCTCCACCTACCAATAATTTTGATCAGACGTTGAACCGAGAGAGCAATTATTCTGACGGTGTCGACCAATAAGTGGTAAGAACTTCTAGCCATGTAGTCACGCTGCTGTGCTTTAATTAAAAACAGTATGATTTTGTTTTTTCTCCTTGTAACACATTTTTGTCTGTAGTTGTACTGCTGTTGTCCTCTACATGGTTTTTCTCATATGCTGCAGTATATAGACTGTACCAACAGTAAAAAAGATTGAAAGGCTTTCAGAAAATCAACTAAGGTAAGTTTAGTGTACATCGCACCTTTTGAAATGGGCAAACATTACAAATGATGTATTTATGCAAATATGATAATTTCTATGGGATATAGGCTATTGAATTGCCCTTGATCTTGAGGTGCTTTTTCGAAAAAATCTTTGCGATCGTGTGAGTATCTGATTCACTTGTCGCACATATTATTCCAATACTCTTGAATACCTCAAGTCCAGACCACTACTCAATATCATCGTCCTAAGTCTACATTCGCTTACCGGTAATTGTTTCGTAATATTTGGCATAGCGTAGCTTAAAATAGCCTTATATTAGGCTTAAGAAATTCAACATATGGTATGACTATGCCAAAAAAAGAGAAATAACACTCTCATGTCCCGACATGTATAATGACAGCATTGACAGGTTCGTTTTATAAGGCTATGATAAGCTGTCACATTTTGTTGAATCATGGTTTGTTGCCTAGCGGTAAATTATAATTGGTGTTTAATAATGCCTCGATGGATAACAGGTGCAATTCTGGTTTCAATTATCTCATAATTAGCAACTTGTAAACATAATCACACATTTAATTGATGGGTAATGTGTGTTAAATGTTTGTATTGTCTGCAGCTCTTTCTCTTGATTTTCCTCTCTCTCCCTTCTCCCTCTCTCCCCCTCTCCCCTCTCTCTCTCCCTCTCTCTCTCTCTCTCTCTCCCTCTCTCTCCATCTCTCTCTCCTCTTTGCTTCTTGCACTATCTCTCTCTCTCTCTCTCTCTCTCACTCTCTCCCTCCCCTATCTCCTCCTGTCTCTCTCTCTCTAATATACTTCTTTCCTTTTAGTTCATCTCTCCCATTTGTCCTCATGTTTTTCTTGACTCTCCTAAGTCTCTCTCTACCCCCTTATTTTTCTTTCTCTCTCTTTTTATAAATTCTCTTGGCGATGCCTCTAGAATCAACAATTCATTGAATTCTACTTCTATTCAGGCGTAGTTAGTTTATAATTATATATAAGCCCGTTTTTATTGCACTTCTACTTGTAATGCTATAATTGCAGGAATGAGGACTCACTTTGACCTCATTCACTCCTTATTCCAATCATGGACCTACTTATGGTCCAATTTCATTTTCAAGGGATACCCCCATGCCCCCTCCCAAACCTCCTACCCTCTTCACCCCCCTGTGTACTTTGAAACAGCAAGATATCTCTTTGTCCCTTCACGGGACATTCAGTGTTACCGCTCGCTTGCCACGCGCAGGAGAACCTACGTTTATAAATTCATAGAACTAATTTTACACCATAAATTTGTTCAGATGAACTGAAAAGGTGCTTAAGAGCAAACCAGATTAAAATTAAACCTGATTTCCCATAATGACATTCAGCGTTACAGCTGAGAACCTACATTTAGAAATATAACCAACTTTACAGTTTACACCGTAAATCTATTTTGGTGAACTAAAACTGAAGCTTGAGATGTACGACTTCAAATTTAATCTTGTGCTATGAAAATATCACAACAAATTCTGGGAAATTCAAACAAACCTACATTGAATGTTCAATGCTATGAGTAAATACAAAAGGATATTTGCTTTTTAGAATTATTTTGTTTGACAATTCAACAGCTGAAGGCAGATGTACAGCCTGATTCTCTGTAAATTAAATACAATACAAGATTTAACGCTGTTCATGTTTCCCACCCGATCCTCCCATCTGAACCCACCATGGGATATTCTTAGCAGCCTATTAGATGCTTCATGTCTTGAGGCGGTTCTTCCATTTAGAGGAGGAGATGATTTGATTTGGCAGGTGCTCCCTAATCTAGTGTGGCGCGAAAAGAATTGATTATCATGATGATGATCATTTTCTTCTGGCTCGCATGAGGTACATGTAGTAAGATCTAGCATTTATAGCTGCATTTACACTGAAACCAAAATCACTGATTTTCCTTGCATTGCGATGTTTCATCGGTAGTTGCAATTACTGGCAAACCACGAAAAAGTGAAATAAAGAAATCCATCTCTGGAGTGATTTTGTCAAAATTTTACAGAATTTTGCGGTGTAAATGCCTGCTATCAAAACTCTGTACGATTCTAGTGTTTGATCTTGTGACTCTTTCGTTTCTGTGCGATCGCTTGCAGAGCAGTGACAAGTTGCACATGGGCACTGACTACTCGCCCCCAAATAGGAACCAACGTTTTTTATGGGTTTTTACAGTAACTTGTAAATGGCAGTCACCAAAATTAATGATATTTCAAAATGGTATTTGGGGTGTGTAAATGGGCCTTATTGTGGAAGAGGCTGTATGCAGCCGGGAAGGTTGCATCGTCTGGAAGATGTGTTCGGTTCTGTACAGAGAATGTAGCATGCTTTGTATAGATCTACAGAGCAACTGGCATGGAATTATGTGGAAAGGGTCCCACGTAGGGCAAAAGTGGGCACTTATGAACAGGTAGCATTATTAATCATTATTACCCTGTGTTATAAAGGTTTTAGAAGGTTTATGATTGTGATCTGTCTTTGTGTACACCTCAGTCTCGGATTTGCAATTCACTGGCTATAAGCCGATATTCTAAACTGAGCAATTTGATGAAGGTTACTTTCAAACAATTTTTTGTTGGAAATCCAGAAGCCTTACCAAAACAAACCAGGAATGTGGATTTATCCAGTCACAATGCCTTCATTCCATTCAGTGTAATCACATGCCATTCACACATATAAAAGAGTGATGTATCATGTATGACTGTATTCCCAGAGTAATATGCCAACAAAAACCTGCCATGTTTTCATAAGAAACCATGGTCAAATGACTAGTTACCTGAGTAATTATGAAATAGAAAATATCCTGTGTTTATGCGCCAGCAGGGGTCATATAAACTCTGGGGTATGAAAGAAATTTGTATTGAGCCGAAGGGGGTGAGTCTTTTTAGATTTTGATGCTTTGAAGCTGGTCGGAGGTCAAGAGGTCGCGGGCTTGTTGAAGGGAGTCAGGTAGACAGTGTTTATCCTAGGAAATGGACTGGCTTGTCCCCTCAAAGACCCCAAGATCAAATTCAGGAAGGACAATATCTAGAGGATAACTTGACACTCTGTTTGGCCGAAGGGGGAACAATATCAAAATGCTGATGATTTTACTTTCGGGGAGAAATAATAGTGCCCTGTCTTAGATTGTAAGTCTAAGATTTATGAATAACACACTTTATTGATCTAAAAAATTCACTCTACTAGTGTATTCTATAAATTACAATTACTAGTTTTTGGAAACATTTCTAGGATTAAATCTTTGAGACGTTGGTGTGATAAGACTGATATTAGCCTACTTGATTAACATCTCAGTAGTTCGGAGAACAACCTAGGACAAACAGACAATGAAAAGGACAACTGCCCTGTGGACCCCTTCCCCCCCCTACAGAAAATATATCTTTGTAGAACAATTTGGATCAGAATTATTACCACCAAGTGTGTTTTAATAGGGAAGTAAGTGTCTTACTAAAACATCTACATCATCACATGCAGGTAATATTGATATTAGAATACATTATTGTGTGCAAACTTTACCGAATAAATGTTTTACTTTTAACTGAAATTATTTAGCTAATGAGTATTGAACACTTTTGGACACACTTCCATTAACTGATTAAGGTGTTGTTTCTTGCATTTGTTACTCTTTTCTTTCCAAATTATACAAAAATAGATCCAAATTGTCTGACAGGGGTAATCGTCCTGAGGGGGTAACTCTCCGGATATAAGGAGTAATACCAGGATGCTAGTGGATATGCATCAGCAGCCATGCTGTCAGGGATGAACGAAGGCACTTGTTTCTTTGTTTTTCCACCTGTCTTTCCCTTCCACCTTGTTTCTCTCCTTCCCGTTCTTCCTCATTCAAGCGTGGAGCTTCAAACTTCTGACAAAAAACAAACAAAACATTGATAGGAAATGATTGCTTTTTATCTGTCAACACAGAGGAACAGATCTGCCTTTGTTTCCTTTGATGGGTAATGGACTGTTTTTCTCTTCCGACTTCTTAGAAAGGTGATGTCATTCAATTTGAGGTAATTTGAGGTAATTTGCGGTGATTTGAGGTAATTGGCTTTTTTAGCCGATGACTCAGTCAAAGATTTTCAAATTTTCAGACTAACTTCAGCCTTCGTAAAGATTATAGATTTAAAAAATTCATTGTTATTTTGAAAATTAAAAAACAAAACAGAAGCATAGCCAAATGGGCTTATCTTCTAATTACATGTACGAAGCTGTAGTGTAATACAGCGTTCAATAATATGCAATGGACATATAACATTTTGATTTTTATATACACTGTATGTATCTGAAGACATTTTTTCAACATTGTTCATTGCAAGTTGAAAGATTAATCCCCAGCACTCCTTCTGCAGTCTTAATTTTGACCCTCTTTGTTCCTACGTAAAAGAAAATTTTCGTCTCGCATTGATCAGAGTAAATGGTAAATAAACATTAGTTCTATCAAAATAGAGACATGTTGGTTTTATCAACTTTTCTTTTGCGCTGAACCTTTCCTTTTTGCAATAAAATTCTTGATATTGACTTATTCTAACCATATCTTGATGAAGGCAGGAAGTCTCTGCTTGTAGAATGCAAGGCATTACCGATTGCATTGTTTGATAACACTGATAATTGACCCTTTACTGTAAATAGAATAACAAAATGCTCAGGACTATCAAAAAGAAGGCCTGGCCTGGGTAAATATGCCAGTTCAGCAGGGCCTGTGTGTCACCTTGGTATAAAAGGGTACCTGAATGAAATCCCAGAAGTTATACTGGAGGTGCTCTGAAATAGACTTTAGGGAAGCATACATGTTGGT